ACTAAATCTACTCTGGCTGAGCTCCATCAACAGACAACAAAGGCCGGATGATAGCGCATCTCTTTACAATGTGGTTTGCTGAGTATTTTAAGCCCACTGTTGAGACCTACTGCTCAGAAAAAATAACCTTTTCAAAATATCACTGCTCATTGACAATGCACCTGGTCACCCAAGAACTCTGATGGAAATGGACAAGAAGATTCCTGTAGTTTTCATGCCTGCTAACACGACATCCATTCTGCAGAATGGCAGGGGCAGTGGGGTCACAGACATATGGATTCAAGACCCAGAATGTTGATAAATTATACAGGAATAAAAATTTACAAAGATCTCTATAAGAAAAAAACCCAAAAACAGACATAAGAGATTCCCCTTTTTGAATATTAGGCAGTTCTTTTTTTTTTAATGTGTATTTATTTGTGAAAGAGAGAGGGAGAGAGTGAGAGAGGCAGGGAGAGCGGAGGGGCAGAGACACACACACAGAATCTGAAGCAGGCTCCAGGCTCTGAGCTGTCAGCACGGAGCCAGACATAGTGCTTGAACGCGTGAACTGTGAGATCATGACCTGAGCTGAAGTCGGATGCTTAACCAACTGAGCCACCCAGGGGCCCCTAGGCACAGTTGTAAATATGACCTACTTGAATAAATCCGGAAAATATTTGTTGTTAGAAAAGAAAATTTGTTGTAAAAACGTGTTCAGAGAATGCGGTTCTGAGAAAGTAGAGAAATGATAGTGGCAGGCGTTCATGACGAGATCTGGGGAAGAGCCATACAGAGAAGAACAGACAAGTACAAATGTTCTAAGGTGGGACAAGCCAAACAGGACTGTGAATGTGCAAGTGGGTCTAGGCACTGGGATAGAAAGTGACAGTAACAGCCCTCTGGTGACAGCTAATAAGCTAGCTAGGTTTCAGCATTTATTAAATATCTTTTGTGCTGTTTTCATCACTGCAAAAAGTATTAAAATCAGTTTGTGTAATTTTAGGCAAACAAAAGACAATATGGAAACTTGTTTTGAAAGGAAAATGGATAGAAGGATTATGATACAATTACTGAGACAGAGCTCCTTATATTTATCCCAATACAATGATATCTGAGGCAGAGAGGAGAAAGCAGACACTGATCTTAAAGTAATAAGATAGAGACACTTATACTGGGTCCGAGATAGTTGGCTTCCTACTGCTGGTTCCTTCTATCGTTTTTAAAATTATTATTATGTTTTATTTATTTATTTAGAGAGAGTGTGAGAGGGGAAGGGGCAGAGTGAGAGGGAGACACAATTGAAAGCAGACTCCAGGCTCTGAGCTGTTGGCACAGAGCCCGACGTAGGGCTCAAACCCATGAACCGTGAGATCATGACCTGAGCCAAACCCGTTTGCACAATCAACTGAGCCACCCAGGAGCCCATGGTTCCTTCTACCCTTTAACTCAGCAGTGCAAGATAATTAGTGTTTACCAGACAGAACATTAGCAGTGTTCAATCTGGAAAACAATAAGAGAATATCAAATCCCTAGGCTCTGCCCTGTTGATATATAATTCCCAAAGATTTCCCAGGATATCCTAGTTCTTATGTTGCAATGTTTTATGCATCTTTGATATCTACGGGGCTTCTAATGGAA